CAAATGCGTTCGAAGATACACGGAGACTTTCAATACAAGGCGTTCATGAAAGGAAACGAATCATGTCGCATCAAATTTGAATTTTTTATCTTCTTCCATCCTTCCGTCTTTAGTATTACTCGAAGACGTCCTATCATTAAGAAGCTATGCCGACCGTGCAATGGATAACAAGCTCTAGCTGGTCTGTGGTGGTGTCGTCACTGACACACCGCTTCAGAAGAAATATTTAAATATTCATATCATTTAATCAGTTCATTCAATTTAATTCATTTAATGACACTAGTGCACACTATATTGATGACAAAAAAACGCCAATATATCTTAATAGTACCTACGATTTATAGGTTATACTTTGGACGTACCATAAAACTGCCCCGTTTAGGAAGTCATTCTCTTACATCGCACCCAATTTATACAACAGGTTGCCATCAAGTGTGAAGACACTTTCTGAAATTTAGTTTCGCAAATAAATTCAAGCAATTTGTTTTTGATGAAAATTTATAAACTTTTGAAGAAGTTTTAAGTGTCTCTTGAAATTTGTATCAGGCTGTTAATGTGTATCTTGATTAACATACCCCTCTTTTTTATACCGAGTCTTCTTAGAATGTGTGAATATTTTCTTTTTAATCTGCTTTTTAATTTGTTTTTCAAGAAAATTGTACTGTTTTTTTATGTAGCCCTAGTTGGTGGTGATAGCAGCTTTATAGTTGAAACCCTACATCTATCCTGGAATCAGAAACGTGATGTATTTGCTTTATACTTTTTTTAAATTCTAAATTCCTCGCTTATCTTTTCTACCTCGCATCAATTATTAATAAGTCACAAAAAATGTGTGTGCACAGTTCTTCAGCTTATTAGACCTTCCCGTCCCCGGAGCAACCAGTCAGGGCCGAGATAAATATTTCATCAATCAAGGTAGCCTTGACAGACGGCTTACCTCATATAACAGGATATTAAAGGATAACGCGGCAAAATAAAACTCACAAATCTGAAAAACGACTTCGAGACAGTTGGGTGGAGGTCAGGTAAGGGTAAAGGTATCCCTTGTAGAAATCAGGAAAGGAATTATTCATGTCACAGTCGTAAAAAAAGGTGACGTGTCCCGATAATAAAAAAGCTAGATAAGCTAATATCTTTCATGAAGACGGCTCCGATAGAAGCGGGGTTCAGGGCCGTCTGTTAACAAACTTTTTACGTCTCATTATATTTTTTTTATTGAAATTTTTACGCTCGGACTACAAAAAACAAAAAGGGGTCGTATAGTTTTACGGTTGTACCTGACTATTTGTGTATCTCTTTGAAGCAACGTATCTCCCGAATGGTGTGAGCAGAAACGATGTCGATACCTTTTTTGTTTTTTTTTTTGTTGTTAAAAAAGTGAAATCTGAAGATAAATAAATAAATAATATGCAGTTTTATTATGAGCGGTCAGGAAAACTCATAATTGTTTAACATAAAAAAAGCATCTCACACAGTCGTAATAGAGAAAACATTGGAAGACAACTTTGTTTTCAATAAGGTACCAAGCCACAATATTTTAAAAAATTGATTTTACGAAGAAGCATTACAATTTTTCGATTCCGTTGACACTAACTCTTTTTTCCCCAAAATGTGAACCTAATTAATAGGAAATTATAGATAGCTCTTCCGAAAATCAATCATTTCAGCGGCTTTTTGAGCGAAAAATATCTGCACATGACATATGATGTCTTTGTTCAATAATTACTAGCTGATGGATTCTTACCATGAGAGAAAGTTATGAACTATAAAGCTCTTTGACCTTTAATAATGTGTGGATGCACCCTGATGTGCTACGCATTCTCCAACGCGCCTAGGCATGCTTCTGATCAGGTGGTCAATGTCCTCCTGTGGTATCTCATTCCAGGCAACCACCAACTCCTCTCGAAGAGCTTCTAGAGTCTGAGGAGGACGTTGCAAATTGAGCAATCTCCTACCCATCGTATCCCACACGTGCTCAATTGGGGATAAGTCGGGAGATCTTGGTGGCCATGGTAACAATGTGACATCATTATGTTGAAAGAAGTCTATTGTGACTCTTGCAACATGTGGTCGGGCATTATCTTGTTGGAAAGTTGGATCTGCCAGGGTGACAAGCTAGGGTTCTAGAACTTCGTGGATATAACGCTGCGCGTTCATGTTACCTCTGATGAAGATTAAAGGTGACCTGGAACCATAAGCTATAGCACCCCAAACCATAACTCAAACAGTGTGATGAACATGTCTTTCAACAAAAAACTGTGGATTCCTCCTTTCACCACGTCGCCTTCTAACCCTGGCACGACCATCGTGCATGCCTAAACAAAATCGAAACTCGTCACTAAAGACAATACTGTTCCATTCCTGATCCCACAGTGACCGTTGTCTGCACCACTCAAGGCGATTACGTCGGTGTTCTCGAGTTAAAGGGAGGACCGAGTGTGGCCGGTATGAAAACAAGCCAAAACTTCTCATTCGTCGGTAAACACTTCGCATGCCAATAGGTCTTCCGTGTTCTGCAAACCATTCATTTTCAATGGACCTGGTAGTGGAGAAACGGTCCCTTAAGGCCAATAATATTAGGTGGCGATCTTCACGGTCTGTTGTTCTACGGCGGCGTCCAGTGCCCCTTGCTCTTTGCGTACGGCCTTATCAAAGTGATGCCTGACAACACCTAACCACAGTGTCTACACTTCTTTGCACTCTAACTGCAATTGCCCGAAAAGAAGGTCCAGCTTCCCGAAGTCCCACTATACGGCCCCTATCAAACTCACTAAGTTGACGAAATCGTACAGGTCTCCGTACTCTAGGCATCGTAACCGATCGTAAAGGATGTCAAGAACCAAAATCCGCCAACATTGATTCTTTACTGCGGCTGAGATATTCATTTTTAGAGCGTTAGTGAATTAAAAAAAAGCAGTATAAAAACCGGAATGTCCAACTGATAAGGCTGAAAATTTTTTCACTTGTTATTTACAGTAAGATAAATACATTCACCAACTTTTATTAAAACAAAACCATTTAAACTGGGTGTTCGGATTTATATGTCACTTAGTATATTATGATAAAAAAAAAGTTGAAATTATGCATGAGGGGATTTTGTAGGTTATTTTGAACAAATAGAAATGTTATCTCACTGCAAATCTCAGTTTTTAAAGCTCCGCCAAATACATTTTTATCGTAGAATAGTAAATTCAACAAAAGATTCAAAATTGCTTTAAGAAAAACAACCTTCCTTATCGCCAGGCTAAATAAAAGTAACAACCAAAGGTTATTCTACTTTCTATTCAAAAAACATTGTAATGTTATTTCTGCAAACTTTCAACGTATAAAATGTAAATAAAGTTCAAAAATTGAATTAAACTTATGAGCCTTAGGTCAAGGATGGCTACAAATCCATGAGCTTGTAGACATTAAAACTCAATATGCTATTTGACAATAAATTGATAAAAATTTGAACATTTGACTAGAGAACCTATAGGAAATTTGTTGTATTCATATAAATGAAGTTTGATTAAAACCCAAGCACAATTGTATACTTTTTCGGGGTATCTTGTTGGATACTGCCGTAATTATTTATCTGAAAACTTTGTAGTTAGTAATTTATTATTATTTTTATAGCATTTCAATCGCAATCAAGCAACAAATGTGATTTCGAGACTTACATAACACATATAACTTTCAATTTCTTGAAATAAAGTCAATGTGGTTTAGGTGCCTTATTGCCCCAAGTCATTCGATTAATTGAAAGAGACTGGAACTGGAATAATTGAATATTAATGATTCTATATGATACCCAACCGTAGACAGTGGAAATAAATTTTCCATTTGCACAAATGAAAATGAGAAATATGCGTGAAAGGGTGTTAAATCACATTAGTACCCTTTTATCGTCCACGAGCAGCTTTTTAATACCCAGCACCAGGTGTGTTAATTCGACGCGTAAAAAGCAAATATTAGTTTTAAACTTGCAACCTTTCAAGAACGATTTTTGACCATGCCGAAACTTGCCTAAGAGTTGTGAAACGTAAAGAAATGAGATTTGGGATACATTTGAAACCCGTTTTATATTGTACGTACCTTGTGGCACCCGCAGAAGCGATTGCGGTACGGATGAACTTGAAAATCGAAGTTTTTTTTATTTCTTTTAAATGACTAATGATATTGTTAAGTGTCAAGGGTTCAGTTGTATGCTTGAAATTGCCGTAGAAAGTGTATGTATTGGTCACTTTGGTAGGAAAATAAGCTTCCGTTTAAAATAAAATTCTGCATTCTGTCTTCGGAAAAAGAATATAAATGGAATAAAGGAACCACGAAAATAATAAGTAATTTTCTTTTGCAGAGTATAGAAGCAATAAATCACATGTTGCTTTTTTTATTTACTGGGATGTCTTATATTTTAGGACTCGACTACAATTATGATCCGAGATCACTTTTAAATAACGCTTTATAAAGTCATGTAACTTTGCAATATTCATTCACTTTTATTATTTCCTAATAATAATTTTGACTTCCAGAAATCCAAAATGTTGAACTCTATTCTCTTAGATTTTTAGGAGATTTTTACACTTTACTGCCTTTTTCCGAACTGCATCTCTTTCTGATAAGTTGTTGGGAATTATTATTGATTGTCATCTAACTTGGAAGCCACATGTAGAATCGCTGCGTCATAAATTACGTAAAAATGCTTATGAGATTCTACCTGCTTCTCGTAGCAGTATCCTCTGATCTTTAAGATAGTTTTGTTATGTAGGTTCAGTATTTCGATCAGCCCTCTTCGTCCATTACTATAATTATTATTATCGTTATTATTTCAGTGTTTTCCTCTTGTCCTATTGTGGCAGTTTTAGGTGAATCCACATCACCCTGTATCACAGCGACTCACCCTAATTCCTTGCGGATAATGTTATTATTATTATAGTAAGTCTGTAGTTGTAAGGGTGTTAAATCACATAAGCATCCCCAGCAACAGTTGCTTGTCCGTGGCCACCACCCAGCAACATCCTGTCGTCTCGATGGTGTTAATCCGACGCGACGCATCTCGACGGCGGCGTCCCGGCGCCTGCCACGCTCGTTCTTCCACCTTCGACGCTCCAACACGTCGACTTTATCAGTTAAGCCCGCGTTCTCTCCCTCTACCGACCGATGCTAATGCCTCTCTCGCGTCTAACTTGCGACCGATTTTTTCTTCATCATTTTCGAACTGCACACGAAATTCCGGTATAAGAAAAATTCTACCTGGAAATTAGTTTAAATTCGTGTACCGTAAAGTCGTGTTAATGGTGGTGCTTATGAGCATGATGTAGCTGAAACTGATCTGAACACAAATGAAAGGATGTGTATAATAATTGAACCTAAGGGACCAAGCAGTAAGTATTTTTTTAATTAGTTAAAATGCAATAACTTTATCGTTATCATCAAATTTTAAGGATGGAAAAACCAGTCGAAAGCTTGATCTGTCGTCTTTGCAAAACTAGTCAGTTCCGTTCTACTCTTATTTGGATTCGTCGGATCGGTATAGGCTTTAGAAAATTCAATTCAATCGCTGCAGTGTATGTTTTTGGACTTCATGATTCAACACTTAAATTGGTTGAAGATGGAACACTAAAAATCCATCGTATATTTTAGAAAAGCTTTACCTTTCATGCTGTCAGGTTACATATTTCTACAGATCCAATTCCAATTTTTGCAGTGAAACTATCCTATCTTTCAGGAGACTATTAAGAAACAGCTGATGGAATAGTTCCAAGATTCTGTGATGTGAACTGTTCAAACTGTGCATCTGTCACATTTGTTTATCCTGTTTCTTATTAATTTGCTTTAATGGATTGTACTTTCCTATGTGAGTATTTTAAACACTGTATGTTTTCACTTCATCTACTTACTTTCTACTATTATTACTATTATTATTATCAACACTTTAGAGAGCGCGGTAATTTAAACATGGTTTGTTTTACAAATAGATATATAACTTGGATATTTATTGTTAGACTTTAAAAAGTACACTCCATTAAATATTATAGACTGCTCATATATGTTATAGTTATTTATTATACAAGAGAAAAAGTTACTAGATTTTAGCTTGAGATTGTATTGTCTCCCGACGCGCAGTTTTTCCCGTGTATAATACACAATTTTTTTCTGTGACGAAAAAAACGACGATTTAATATTGAAAAATCATATTATTACAATATTTAAGTCAAAAAATTATCGATGTGAAATTTGAATTATGAAATTAGTAGGCTATGTTGTACTTATAGCGACAATTATACCAGCGTTGCTAAGGAAACTTTCAAAATAATCAAATATACTAAGTGACATATAAATCCGAACACCCAGTTTAAATGGTTTCATTTTAATAAAATTTTGTATAAGTACGTAATGAAGCATAATAAGTAAATGATAAAAATTTCAAAATGATTGCACTGCTTTAAAGCCCTTTGACATTTAATAATGTGTGGATGCACCCTGATGTGCTACGCATTCTCCAACGCGCCTAGGCATGCTTCTGATCAGGTGGTCAATGTCCTCCTGTGGTATCTCATTCCAGGCAACCACCAACTCCTCTCGAAGTGCTTCTAGAGTCTGAGGAGGACGTTGCAAATTGAGCAATCTCCTACCCATCATATCCCACACGTGCTCAATTGGGGATAAGTCGGGAGATCTTGGTGGCCATGGTAACAATGTGACATCATTATGTTGAAAGAAGTCTATTGTAGACTCTTGCAACATGGGGTCGGGCATTATCTTATTGGAAAGTTGGATCTACCAGGGTGTCAAGATAGGGTAAAAGATGGGGTTCTAGAACTTCGTGGATATAACGCTGCGCGTTCATGTTACCTCTGATGAAGATTAAAGGTGACCTGGAACCATAAGCTATAGCACCCCAAACCATAACTCCAACAGTGTGATGAACATGTCTTTCAACAAAAAAAATGTAGATTCCTCCTTTCACCACGTCGCCTTCTAACCCTGGCACGACCATCGTGCATGCCTAAACAAAATCGAGACTCGTCACTAAAGACAATACTGTTCCATTTCTGATCCCAGAGTGACCGTTGTCTGCACCACTCAAGGCGATTACGTCGGTGTTCTCGAGTTAAAGGGAGGACCCAGTGTGGCCGGTATGAAAACAAGCCAAAACTTCTCATTCATCGGTAAACACTTCGCATGCCAATAGATCTTCCGTGTTCTGCAAACCATTCATTTGCAATGGACCTGGTAGTGGAGAAACGGTCCCTTAAGGCCAATAATCTTAGGCGGCGATCTTCACCGTCTGTTGTTCTACGGCGGCGTCCAGTGCCCCTTGTTCTTTGCGTACGGCCTTCTCGAAGCCATGCCTGACAACACCTAACCACAGTGTCTACACTGCAATTGCCCGAAAAGAAAGTCCAGCTTCACGAAGTCCCACTATACGGCTCCTATCAAACTCACTAAGTTGACGAAATCGTACAGGTCTCCGTACTCTAGGCATCGTAACCGATCGTAAAGGATGTCAAGAACCAAAATCCGCCAACGTTGATTCTTTACTGCGGCTGAAATATTGATTTTTAGAGCGTTAGTGAATTAAAAAAAGCAGTATAAAAACCGGAATGTCCAACTGATACGGCTGAAAATTTTTTCACTTGTTATTTACAGTAAGATAAATATATTCACCAGCTTTTATTAAAATAAAACCATTTAAACTGGGTGTTCGGATTTATGAGTCACTTAGTATATTTCAAACTAATTACATTTCTGAAATAAAATGGGAAAGGTTACAAGCCCAAGAAAGCTGTGCACAAATTATTGATTTTTTAAATAATGCTCCCGATGAAGTTTATTTAATGGCCAAGGTTGTTGTTGTATTTGGGATTGCAGGAGCTTGTCGAATTTGTGAAATCAGTCAGGTAACATCAGATGATATTCAAGATTCGAGAACGTTATTAATTGTGAAACTTGAGGAAACAAAGAATGATGTAAACAGGAGATTTGTAGTTACTGAAAATGGTATTAACTTTTACCGAATGTACGCCGCCTGTTTTATGTATATCACAATGGATGTACCAATCAGGTTGTGGGTAAAAACCAGTTTTATAAGATTCCCGAAACAGTGGCTAATTTACTTCAACATGAAAATGCTAACTCATATACAGCTCATTCATTTCGAAGATCGTCTGCTACACCTTTAGTGGAATCTGGGGGAGACTTGATGGCACTAAAGAAACATGGCGCTTGGAAGTCATCAACGGTCGCTGAAGGGTATGTTGATTAATCGGTAGCACACAGGACAGAAATAGCTAATAAAGTGTGGTAGTGCTGAAATAACACCGGAAAAAACATATAATTTCAATACAAGAAAATTCGACTGTTGTACCGAATAGTTTAAGGAACGTGTCCTTCATGCAATGCACATTTAATAATTGTAATGTAACTTTATTGTATAATAAAAAATTATAAAATTAAATATCTACCTTTGCTTATGTGTTTATACAATATCCGGGAAAAAAATACCTGATTTTTTTACCGGGAAAACAGTAATTATTTGTCCTTCGATAGTTTGAAATGGCAGAACCTTTTCTCTCTGGAGATCGACTGCTGTGCTTCATGACTCCAACGCAAAATAAAGTGTGCATAAGAAATCTCGATCATCTGTTGAATTTATTTTTGAATTCGAAATCGGATCCTGTGATAGACTATTATCGTCATTCCCACCTTTCCATGCCTTCTTCAATTTTTTCCAGGAAGGCAATCATATCGTATTTCACTTTATTGATCATATTTTCAGATGCCGAAACGTCGGATAGCGACACATCGTTTGGATATACGGAGTAAAAAGTCGAGGATCCTTATTCTCACAATAAAAGTTATTTTTAGATCGCCCGGACATTTTTTAACGATCGTTTGTATATATTCGGGCTAGATCGTTGCCATTACTTTTACACACCGTCAAAGAAAAGTGGGTTAGTAATAAATAAGGAGTCTTGAAAGTCTCAGAAACGACTACGTTTGAAATAGCAAAGTCATTTTGCGGTAAAACAGCGCCGAAATCGTAAAAAAGATCGAGAGTTATATGGAAGATCAATCTGGTTCGTTACTTGTGATTAAAGAATCAACAAAGACACATAATAAATGAAGACCTCTGCTTTGAAATGAGAGCAAAAACGAATATATCGCATCTTCCTTCCCCTTAGGGCTTCTGATAACTACATTCGTTTATGTTAAACGATATTGAATATGCGGTAATAAACGCGAGAGTGGTAATAAAACGTATTAAGCCGAAGTACCTGTATGTGCCGTGTTGCTACTCCTCAAACTTCCTCCGAAACTTCTAGTTCGAATGCCCATTAAGTTGTTAAACTGAAAGTTACTTTGCTGTAATTTGTATCTCAATAGACTGTAATTCCAAATTGCTCTAATGGAGCTTTTGTGTGAAGGAACTACGTTAGCAAAACCAAAATTGGTACACCTCAGGTCATAGTTAATTTGAGAGGAACGCATTTAACATCTATCTTTGGCCTGGTCGAATCAAATCGCTTATTTGATTTTAGCTAGTCTGATTCCTCCATCTTGTAATTGTTATCCTTTTTGTCCAATGTCGACTGGTCTATGTTAACACGTCGGTCACTGTTCGTTGACTGTCTCAACTGTGACTGACTCCTTCCGCCATCTGGTCGGGTATTTATTGCCCTATCGACGATTCGAGAAACATTCCAGCGTTTTCGCGAACTTCTATGGAAGTGGTCTAAATGGCAGCAGATTCATCTTCAGACGTGTCGAAGAATCGCAATGACATCTCGAATAGTTGAGAATGTACCCAGGCTCCACATATGGTCTCTCTTATTCAAGGATACTCAACCAATTTGGGTCACAGTCCACAGAATAAGTGGAATGACAATTATTATTTAATTTCCTATATGCTTTCTTTACCTCCCTGTTGTAGTTGTTATCCTTTTTGTGTAATATTGAGACTTCATCCTGTTTCATCTTATAGTTAAGAGTCAGTGTTGCCTGTGTGGTAAGGAAGTGTCACAGATTAGTCGGATTACGGTGTCATGCCTACTCTTAGCTCTTATTTTCTTGATAAAGCTTTGTTACCGCGACACGTGCTGCTTTACATCGAAGAATGATCGATCTTAACCGTATTGTAACGAAAACATCGTTTTTACTGTCCAAGATCTAATGTACTATTCTTCACAAACAAATTTATAACACTTACAACTAATTTATGACGTATTCATAACCTTCTCGACTGGACTTTGTTGACGCATCGGTCGCTATTCGTTGAGTTTCTCGACTGTGACTGACTCCTTCCGCCTCCTGGTCGGGTATTTATCGCCCTATCGACGATTCGAGAAACATTCCAGCGCTTTCGCGAACTTCTATGGAAGTGGTTTAGATGGCAGCAGATTCATCTTCAGACGTGTCGAAGAATCGCAATGGCATCTCGAATAGTTGAGAATGTACCCAGGCTCCACATATGGTCTCTCTTATTCAAGGATACTCTAATAATTTGGGTCACAGTCCACAGAATAAGTGGAATGACAATTATTATTTAGTTTCCTATATGCTTTCTTTACCTCCCTGTTGTAATTGTTATCCTTTTTGTGTAATATTGAGACTTCATCCTGTTTCATCTTATAGTTAAGAGTCACTGTTGCCTGTGTGGTAAGGAAGTGTCACAGATTAGTCGGATTACGGTATCATGCCTACTCTTAGCTCTTATGTTCTTGATAAAGCTTTGTTACCGCGTCACGTGCTGCTTTACATCGAAGAATGATCGATCTTAACCGTATTGTAACGAAAACATCGTTTTTACTGTCCAAGATCTAATGTACTATTCTTCACAAACAAATTTATAACACTTACAACTAATTTATGACGTATTCATAACCTTCTCGACTGGATTATGTTGACGCATCGGTCGCTATTCGTTGAGTTTCTCGACTGTGACTGACTCCTTCCGCCATCTGGTCGGGTATTTATCGCCCTATCGACGATTCGAGAAACATTCCAGCGTTTTCGCGAACTTCTATGGAAGTGGTCTAAATGGCAGCAGATTTATCTTCAGACGTGTCGAAGAATCGCAATGGCATCTCGAATAGTTGAGAATGTACCCAGGCTCTACATATGGTCTCTCTTATTCAAGGATACTCAACCAATTTGGGTCACAGTCCACAGAATAAGTGGAATAACAATTATTATTTAATTTTATATATGCTTTCTTTACCTCCCTGTTGTAATTGTTATCCTTTTTGTGTAATATTGAGACTTCATCCTGTTTCATCTTATAGTTAAGAGTCAGTGTAGCCTGTGTGGTAAGGAAGTGTCACAGATTAGTCGGATTACGGTACCATGCCTACTCTTAGCTCTTATGTTCTTGATAAAGCTTTGTTACCGCAACACGTGCTGCTTTCCATCGAAAAATGATCGATGTTGACCGAATTGTAACGAAAACATCGTTTTTACTGCCCAAGATCTAATGTACTATTCTAGACAAACAAATTTATAACACTTACAACTAATTTATGACGTATTCATAACCTTCTCGACTGGACTATGTTGACGCATCGGTCGCTATTCGTTGAGTTTCTCAACTGTGACTGACTTCTTCCGCCATCTGGTCCGGTATTTATTGCCCTATCGACGATTCGAGAAACATTCCAGCGTTTTCGCGAACTTCTATGGGAGTGATCTAAATGGCAGCAGATTCATCTTCAGACGTGTCGAAGAATCGCAATGGCATCTCGAATAGTTGATAATATACCCAGGCTCCACATATGGTCCCTCTTATTCAAGGATACTCAAATAATTTGGGTCACAGTACACAGAATAAGTGGAATGACAATTATCATTTAATTTCCTATATGCTTTCTTTACCTCCCTGTTGTAATTGTTATCCTTTTTGTGTAATATTGAGACTTCATCCTGTTTCATCTTATAGTTAAGAGTCAGTGTAGCCTGTGTGGTAAGGAAGTGTCACAGATTAGTCGGATTACGGTATCATGCCTACTCTTAGCTCTTATGTTTTTGATAAAGCTTTGTTACCGCGACACGTGCTGCTTTCCATCGAAAAATGATCGATCTTAACCGTATTGTAACGAAAACATCGTTTTTACTGCCCAAGATCTAATTTACTATTCTAGACAAACAAATTTATAACACTTACAACTATTCATCTTCAGACGTGTCGAAGAATCGCAATGGCATCTCGAATAGTTGAGAATGTACCCAGGCTCTACATACGGTCTCTCTTACTCAACCAATTTGGCTCACAGTCCACATAATAAGTGGAATGACAATTATTATTTAATATATGATTTCTTTACCTCCCTGTTGTAATTGTTATTCTTTTTGTGTAATATTGAGACTTCCTCCTGTTTCATCTTATAGTTAAGAGTCAGTGTAGCCTGTGTGGTAAGGAATTGTCACAGATTAGTCGGATTACGGAATCATGCCTAGTTTTAGTTCTTATGTTCTTGATAAAGCTTTGTTACCGCGACACGTGTTGCTTTCCATCGAAGAATGATCGATCTTAACCGTATTGTAACGAAAACATCGTTTTTACTGCCCAAGATCTAATCTACTATTCTACGCAAACAAATTTATAACACTTACAACTAATTTATGACGTATTCATAACATTCTCGACTGGACTATGTTGACGCATCGGTCGCTATTCGTTGACTGTGACGGACTCCTTCTGCCATCTGGTCGGGTATTTATTCCAATATCGACCAGTCGAGAAGCACTTATGCATACATGGTCGCGTAATTCTGGTTGGCTAAGCGTGGATCGCAACTTCTGGCCACCTGTCGAATGTTCTAGTTGATGTACGAGGGTGTCAGGCGCAAGTACACAGAGTTCTAGTTATACGAGGGGAACTGTATTGTTTCGATTTCGTAATAGTATGCTTTGGTCATAATATTGTTTTGTTTTCAGAACCTCCAAGGACATCTCCACAGCAAGACCCCATGGCAACGGTGGTATCCACATCAGAAACGCAGACAACGATGCCAACGAAAGAGACCAAAGCATCGCAAGATCCCTCAGATATGGTCGAGTTTCCACAGACTAGTTCCACAGTAAGTCCAACAATATGAATGAATATCCTTCAGATTAGCAATCCTTAAGTTTTGGATGACAAAATCTCATGATGATGATTTAATAATCCAAAACCCGGATAGATTCCTAAATCTGCACTTTAATATTAATTAAAATAGGAGGTCCCCTGTCGATCGCTGGTGACATCTTGTCACTAATCAAGCCGTGATGTTGATGATACGCCAGGAGCTCCAGAAACTCTGGGCCTGTAGTTGTAAGGGTCGACTTTAGAGAGTTGACATAGCTGTATATAAAATATGCAAAATACATCAGGTCATCCACAGTTGGGAATTATTTTGGGACTATAAAGTGTATTGTCACATATTATATTACTAGACCCCATTCCGGTGGATCCATGACAACATTTTGGAAATAGAACGTAGGCGTCTCACGTCGATGACCCGAATCCTGAACAGTAGACCCCACCTTCCGTGGAGGTATCGCGGCCATCAACAAAATTACATCACTTTCATTAAATTCCAGGCACCTTCATAAACACTGGAGTAAATGGACGGAAAATGGGTTAATTTTCCACGTATTGGCCTGCCTGACGTTTTCATTTAAAGCGTTTCTTCGCCAGGTTATTTCCGATTTTACACGTGCTTCTGGGATATAAACAAATCGCAAAGTCCACAGAATTATAGGTATTGCATACTGATTGTCATGTGAATGTGATGTCATTTTTTCGCACGTTATCATTGGCTTGTCATCTTGTGACAGTTTCTTTTTATGGACGATTAAAAATTAACTATATCTTGATCAAATAAATTGTTATAACGTTTCTTGGTCTAATGATTTTATGGTATAAAATCATACTCTACTCTCCATCTCGTTAATTTTTTATAATCACTGTCGACCGCAAGTACGAGAGGTAAATGTGATTAGGGGCTATTTCCGGTGCTCTTGTGTAGGAATTTACTAGCCCGCAACCCGATTTTGTGGATCAATTTCACACGCACTACCGCGGTTTTATCGAGTTGTGGAGATTTTCATGGAAATCGATGGTTGTACCTTCGGGTTTGAGTTACATCTTGCCCTCGGTTGCCTACCTATGATAGCCAAGCAACTGCCTAGGTGGTTTTTTATTTTAAAGTGGAAACCATTTAGCTGGGGGGTAGTACAACATAACTCTCTTTTGCTTGTCCTCCATGACTTTTTTTAATTTTTTTTATTTCTTTCATGTTGAATAAATGTGTACCTTGTGAGTTTGTATCTCCTTTAGCGCCAGAGACCCAACATTTACAAGATATTCTTTTCCTAGATCTTGGAACTAGGTAGCGCACAATTCCTTTGCATCCAAAATCCAAAGTCCAAAGAACCACCCTCTGAGGGCTCATTTACTACCAACTGAGCTCAGTTTAAAGATAAGACCAATGAACAAAAACCTGATCACCAAGAATTGTGTATACCAGATGCTATGTGAATGCGGAGATATATACCAGGGCGACCCGATAAGTGCAAATCAGAGCACCACTATTCACTCACGCGTTACCGACTGACACATTGTCTGATTACAACTGAATAAAATTGTAGTAAAAACATCGTGATAAGCGTTTCAAATTCTTTCGCTTTCTTGTTTCCGATGCGATGAACCGATAAGGCGGATTATATCCGTTGTTGCCAAACACGAGCACATAATATTATTTTTGAGACAGGGCGGTACTCAAACTTCTAAAGGGCTATAACTTTGCTACTTTAATTTTACCACAAAAATGTTAAAGGAAAAAAACATTTTTAAAAATCCCTATAGACAATGCAAGTCCGAGAAACAACATCTCAGAAGCCTAAATACTAGGGTACCGCGGCTGTTTTAAGAAGTTTAAAGAAACCTGTGTGTGTAGAGATGAAAATTGAAATATTGCATTGTGGAAATTTAAAGGCATACTATTGGAGAAATTATTCTAAAATGCAAGAGGTTCTGCGATGACATATAAAGAACTAAGGTATCTACCCTCTATTGATTGGGTATACTCGTAAGCATCAATTGAAAAAACATCAGAGCCAAAGGTTGGTTAATCAAGAAATGTTTACGAATCTACCACAATTTGGATTCTAATGGAGAAATCAGGAGTTTCTGTTCATGTTCTTCATAAATCTAGATCGTTCGCAACGTCAAAATACCGTACAGTAACTTTTTTGTGAACATCCATAAAATAGGAATTTCTGGGAGGTTTATGCGCCCAGCAACAAGTAATGATTGTAAAACACGAAACGTTACCGGTGTGTTTAAACCCAAATGTTTTTCAGACTCTTTTCCCGAGAAATATATTCAATACTACGACTTGCGACGAATATAGATTCCGTTCTAAATCGTGACGTTTTAGTCATGCAATTTTTCAATATTATTATCAACATGCTCGAATTTTGCACGTGTAATATCTATAGAAAATGGAGTGAAACAGCTACAGCATATCTATCTACAGGGTGTTCGAAAAGTTTCGGGACCTCACAATTGATAACAGTATTTCCCAGCTGTCCAATAGTGACCTTCAGTTGGACCTTGGCCATGATTTTCAAGATCATTTGAAGGTCAAGTCGATTTTTTAAATTGAACCCTCCATTTTTGAAAACAGCTGAAAATTTTGCGATCAAATATGGCTGTCGCCATTTTAAAATTTTGACCTTAGGAGGTCATGATGAAGGTCAGTCCCAGACACAGATATATAACTTGACAGTCAGTATTTGGAAACTATCGAAACATTATTTTTGATAATTTTTCCCCGGATATTCAATGATGATCTTGGATCTGACCTTGGCCATGACTTTCAAGGTCATTTGAAAGTCAACTCTTTTTTAATGGGATCCTATACTTTTGACCGCGGAAGTGGAGAAAAGGAAAAATGTTCGTTCGGATATGTCCTTGACTACTTTTGGCTCTTGACCTTGGATTTTACCATCAAGGTCAAACACAATTTTATTTAAATTTCTTGATAATTCAGAGAACTGTGCAATCGCCAAATAACCTGACTGTTCCTTCAAATGACCTTGAAAGTCATTTGTCAAGGTTGAATCCGATGTTACCGTTGAATAGCTGGTTAGTCACTTCTCTGTTAGCTTTGCAATTTTGATGGACAGTCCATAATAAAAATATTTAAAGTATTTCTAAATCTAGTGATTTAAGATGCATATTGCCAGAAAACAACAAAAAGGAAAAAATTATAATTTGTATTCAAATTTGTTTCTACATCGACAAGCATTTCGTATAAATACCTACATACTGTATTTTTTTATCATTGGGAATCATTCCTACTGACATATGGGAAAACGGTTTCGTATTTCCTCCTTCCACGTATCCAAACCTTCCCTAATAATCTCTTGCATTTTTCATCTAACGTCAAATTCACTTTTTCCAGTCTACCGTTCAGGTAGAAATTCCCATTTTCCCGTATTTTGAAGCATCTTTCCGTCCTCAATGGGCCTGAGAGAAACGCTTTCCCTTCGTCATGTATTATTTATCTTTTCTTTCGTGGAAATATGTTGACTATTTTGACAACTGAATGATATTTGAGGAGATTTTTCATTCTCAATAACATAGAATGCTTATTCTAGATAGAACAACCGAAATATTAGTCCAATTCTGGATTCTATGCGAGATTCAAGGTACATGTCACGCCATAACCGCCATTAACATTATTTTGTATTTTTGTCTTTGTCGTATTGTAACAAGAATGAATAGTACCATTGGCGCCATCTGTTGAGGTCCGCGCCAGTGACTCGCCTTCCAGATCGACGCGAAGTGACCGCGAATATTCTAGACTGCCGCTTTGTGGCTCACCGGAATCTTCTCGACTGGACGAGTACCTGTCATGCGGACTGTATAGGGGCGGCCGGGAGGTGGTAGTAGGGAAGAGTAGAGCAGAGTGGAGTATAGTTCAGTCAATGGCGCGACATAAGAATTAGTCAAAAATTAATAGTGGTGTACATCTATGTAGTCAAGATAAATAAATTAGTGCATTTCTTTTTGTGGAATCCAGTGTTTTAATCAACACAAGAGAATCCAGAAAAACGCTAGAGTATGATTTGTAACGGGTTTCTGACTTTAATAGGCTTTATCCAAAATTTGGATAACAAATACTGCAGAGTAGAATAGAAAAAAATTTTTTTAATTACTGGTGTCGCAGAGAAATTTATTTATGGAAGAATACGCTTTTTCATATGCATTTTTAAAAGTTTTTTGTTTATAAAAATAGGTTTTTTCACATGTATCATCAGCTCATAATTATAGATACATGTCAAGGTTAAAATTCCCACCTCTCCGTCCAAGCAAAGACAGCCAACCGCAGGCAGCTGTTTCATGTTTGTTTTGCAAATGATCTAGCGTATAAGGCTCTGTCTTATTTCGATAAGGTGAACGTCTCCTTTGTAGATTAATGACGGCGTAGTGTGATGCCATTTCTTTACACAATTCCAGCGTTAAAAATAAGGTTAATTTTGTAGAAGGACAGTGTAAGTTTCCGAGGAATGCTACATACGGCTTTTAGTTGACTTTTGACCGAAATTTTGTTTAGATGTTTTGCAATCTTTGTGCGAAAGATAAAAGTTTCTCTCCGCATCACTCTATGTGGTCGTTCTTATAGAAGTTTTCTGTAACTACATTTTAACTTCTGTAAGCAGGTAACTTGATTTAGACAAACTTTCGGTGGGCGCGGTACAAGACAATACTGTTAATTCTATTTGTTCCGATTCTGTTTCTGTTTAGGAAACAGCGAGGCGTGCTGTGTCGAGTTAAATCGGATTTTGCTTCTAATCTATCGGAACTGTTTTCGCGCTAAAAGTAAAAGGAAACTCGTTAAAGCTATCCTTAAAAGCTCCTCGAGCTACCGCGATGTTATTAATGACTCCAGATGGTCGCAGTTTATAGCAGACAGATTAGAATTTAAGACGAAGCCATTAATTTATTTGATCCTGTGATTGTCTTTTTGTACAGTACAAGTACAGCAGCTATCGTAACTGTAAGGCGATTTTATCATGCATTGCATCATAAATCTGTTTTTTTATTTGCGCTCGAACACTAAATCGGCGGCCATTGACATAAAATATACCATTGAAAAAGAAGCATTTGCGGCAAGCAAGGAGACAAAATGATACAATATCTAGATTGATATGATAGCAATTACTTTAAACTTTCGATAATAATAATAATAATAATAATAATAATAATAATAATAATAATAATAATATTTATTTACTCAATGTACAAAGATAACAAACAATATGAGTAAATAAATATAAAATCAAGACAGGCCCAATAGAAGGTATCGCCTGTACATGGACCAATAATTTAAGTTGAAACTGTAGAATGCAAATGACAAAAAAGGACAAAAATTAGCTACAGTAGATTATGTATTTAGTTGATGTTCGTATTTATGAGTTTATGAATTTCAGCCCTAGATATAGAATGTAGCCACTTTTTTAAATTTCTTTTGAAACAATTTCCGAAACGTAAATCTTTTAAGTGTTTAGGTATAATTTCATAAAATTTAGGTGCTAAATAGAGATATGATCGCTGCATTATAGATTTATGCGGTTGAGGAACTACTGTGCCACGAATTTTGTATCTGGTATAATGATTATGTTTAATTTTTTGGTCGGTGTTTACAAATTTATGGTAGTGAGTGATACTGTGTAAGAAATAAAGCTGTCTTATATCATACATTCGAACATCTGCATATAATTTTTCAGTGGGATAAAGTTTCTGTTTTTTAAATATCATTTTTAGAATACTTTTTTGAAAAACATCTAAATTATAGATATGTGAGGAACATGCAGCTCCTCATGCTAATATACCATATGTGAGATGAGGCTCAATCAGTGCATGGTATAATGTTTGAAGATATTTTTCTGTCAATATATTCCCAAGGTATATAATTTTGTAGGATACAAATCTAACTTTCTTTAAAATATAATTGACATGGATGTCCCATCGTAAGTGAGGATCCAAGACCACTCCAAGGTATTTTATGTTGGGCACTCTATTAATTTGCATTTTTTGATCATTAATATTGAAGGAGAAATTTGTGTAATTTGGCAGATGTCTAGCATAAGATCCAAATGGTAAAAAATGTGTTTTAGAGTAGTTAATGCTTAATTTTCTACTGTTAAACCACCGAATAATTTTGATAAAATCATTTTCAATTACATTTTTCAGATCAGACCAGTCAGTGCCTTCATATAATATTGCAGTATCATCTGCAAAACTAGTTATTTTGCCAACACAATTAATTTGGAAAACATCATTTAAATATATATTGAATAACAGCGGACCTAAGACAGTTCCTTGTGGGACACCACACTTAATATACATTTCTTTACTAAATGATCCTGATATCTGCACAGATTGTGGGCGATTTGACAAATAACTTTCGATCAGTGAGTACGCGTTTCCTCTGAAACCAATTCTCTCCAATGCTTCTAATAATAATTTGTGATTAACTGTGTCGAAAGCTTTCTTTAAATCAACAAAAATGCAGATTGAAGGGATTCTGTTATCAATATTTTAATGTATTTGATTTACAATTTTAGTTATTGCGTCCGATGTAGCCTTCCCTTCTGTAAATCCATATTGATTTTCACTTAAAATTTTGAATTTTGTGATGTATCGAATCATTCTAGTAGATAAAACTTTTTCAAAAACCTTTGCTATACTGGATATTATTGATATTGGTCTATAGTTGTTAACATCTGTTTTTGTTCCTGATTTATGTATCGGTATTATATTACCCTTTTTTAAAAAATAAAATCAACCATAGTCTCGATCAAAAAGCGAATAGTTTTTTCAGAAGTTACATAGGAAGTTTTTCTCCAAACATATCCGAAATACCAAATTTTCGGAAAATTACGACTGGTGGCTCCTTGATCCACTACTTTTTCTTTTATACACATAAAGATCAAAGTCAGTACTTCAGTAGCTTTCAGCAAGGAATGCAATGGTGACCTTGAGTTTGACCTTGACATTCACCTTCAATAGTAATCCCTGGTTAACTTGATTTTTGATGCAGCAATCGAAAGAATGGGAAATGTTACGTTCAAATATAATTTAAATCCAAGGTCAAATGAAGATCAAATGTGTGCTGCTAAGAAAACCTTTATAAATCTCACAGGATGAGTGATGAAAATAACTATCAAGGTCAGGTATTTGGTAAATGTTAACGAGAAAGAGAACGTTGGCCTTGGATGTGACCTTCAAAGTTGTTTCAAAGTCAACTTTATTTTTTTAATAAAAGTTGCTATTTTTGATGCCGGAAAATTTTACGTTCAAGTACGAATTGAGGTCCAAGGTGAAGGTGTCATCTAAAGGTCAAATGTGTGCTGCTAGGAAACCCTCTACAAACCGAACAGGATTAGTAATAATGTGAGGTCTTGGGTAAATTTTAACGAGCGAGTGAACAGTTTTGACCTTAATCTCCACCTTCAAGGTCATTCCAATGTAAACTTCATTTTTCACAGAAATCCCTATTTTTGATGACGGCAATCGAAATATCCACTAAAGGTCAAATGTGTGCTGCTAAGAAAACCACTATGAATCTTACACGATTAGTGATGAATGTAACTATCAAGGTCATTTTTTAAGTAAATTTTGACGGGTGATTAAACAAGTTGCTTGATTCTATTCCTACAAAATGTTCTTTGTTCCAGGTCCGTGGAGTAGAAATAGGCATAGTCCTTCTAGTCCTGTTCGTCTGGATCGCAGCCATCGCTTTGTTTTTCAACCGCTGGGGAAAAATCAGGATGCTTCTGCCCTACCAACCTGATTACAAACAGGAACAGTTGAAGGTGCCAGGGACGGCCGCGTGTGCCGCTGCAGTCGCCCAAGGGGGCCCCTGCACTCATGGCTCCAGGGACCACATCTGCCAGCAGGTATTTTATACGGAAAACAATTAGTAACAATTTGTAATCTTCGGCTTTTACTTACCTAACGAAACACCTTAATTTATTTACGATTAACTTTAAGGTAATTACGGTTACGGCACCGCAGCATTGCCGTGTTTTCAACTTTTGGAAATGGCTACTTTCAGGGTCTTTTAAACTTTACTCTACTCGAAAACAGTCAGCTTTAAACAAAGTTGCTGCGTTATTAAGAAACAATGTTTTGTAATTTATTTGAAAAAAATGTGTTTTACAAAATATTGAAAATAATCAAGTAGAAACATTTCTTTCACGAACGTTGGGTTAACGTGACGTCTAAATATACAGGGTGTCCGCAAAGTTGGGGTTTTCCTTTACACGACGTGTAGATCTTGAAAACATAAGAAATTTTTCTTAGTACCATATATACCAATGTCTTAAGGGAACCGAGATAAAGGGCTCTGCAACATCAAAAATATCTGAATACCGTCCTGTAGCCGCGACATCACCGACTGGTACAAGGTCACTGGCTCAACCCGACGACAGAACTGGGTCGGAGTCAATGTGTCAGGTCAGTATGCAACCTTCAACCGACGGTTACGGTCACGCGTGTAGAGGTAATCGCGTAGACGAGAATCCCTCAACGAGCACTAGAGACGTGGCTAGAGAAGTGCAAGTATCAAAAACTAAAGTGTGGTAAACGCTGCGTGAAGAGGGGCTGTATCCGTTTCACGTCCAACGTGTACAAGCCCTTCAACCTGACGATTTTCCAGCAAGAGTGCGGTTTTGTGAGTGGTTGTTGGATCAACATGACAATAATCCGGACTTTTTGAAGTGGATATTGGTGACAGACGGATCTACGTTCACGCGTAACGGGGTGAATAACTTTCGCAACACTCATGTTTGGTCAGTAGAAAATCCGCACGCTGTCCGTCGGGCACATTTTCAACAAACGTTTTCGGTGAATGTTTGGGCTGGCATGGTGAACGGTATGCTCATTGGACCATTTATTCTCCCAAATCGATTGGACGGGATGCAATACCTAGACTTTTTACGCAACATTTTGCCTTCCTTGTTAGAAGATGTGCCATTAAGTGTAAGACAATCAATGTGGTTTCTGCACGATGGTCATATTTGTTACCTCTGTTCGTGGTCTGCACCACCGCCGGCGTCTGCTCGGTAGCGCATCAGCTGATTTCATTTTCTGTTGGAGCGGTATGATTTCGGGCAGAGACGTACTTAGCCCTTCTCGTCAACTGGAGAGTGAGTACTTTTTCCTTTATTTTTTTTACTTGGTCGCCCTCGTTTCACATTACCTTTGTTATTTCAAGGGTAGTTGTTTCTGAAAAGGAAAACCCCAACTTTGCGGACACCCTGCATATAAATTCGTGTGTGGAAGGGAGGTCCAGACGAGGGATACCGTTTTCAATAATTCGGGCGGCATTTGGATGAATAACGTCACTTGCTACCGCTGAATAAAGGCTCTCTGGCGACCCCATAAATTTTCACGTTCGTTTTACAATTTGCGCCGTATTCGCATTTGGCGTCGGTTAATCCCACTGGCGCGCAGTGGAATATTCTAGAGGAAATAGATCATTTTTATATACTTAGCAACTCATTCGCTTCGGTGTACGTACCAGGGTTATAAGATAAATAAATGTGTGTATCATCGGCGTAGGTTTGATAGTTTTGCAGTATTCAGTACCTTGACCTAAGTGTATACAGAGTGTTCGAAAAATAGACGGAGAACAGACAAGCCGACGTCGAGTCCAGAAACAAATATAACGAAGCGGTTCGCAATGCCAAAAACCAGCATGATATAAAAGTTAGGCACAGGGTAATGTTGCAGCGCAATGGCAGTCGGTCTTTCTGGACGCTGGCCAAGCAGATTGAAAAGAACTTCTCACACAGTAGCCTTCCACCACTTACGTGTCAGGATGGAACTAATGTATTCGACTCAAAGGCCAAGGCGGAAGTGTTAGCCAAGATCTTTGCTGCCAACTCCACCATGGACGTCCCCACCAACGCCCAAGTGCCGTCAATTCAAAGGGTTCCCCACACTATGCGGGAGGTAACATTCAGGCATAAGACCGTAAGACGAGTGCTCTTGTCGCTCGACATCAACAAAGCTTCTGGTCCGGACTTGATTCCTGCCATTGTACTGAAGAGATGTGCAGCGGAGCTTGCTCCAGTTCTTTCACGTCTCTTCCAGATATCTTATGAATCCGGCACCTTCCCAGAAAACTGGAAATTTGCTCATGTACAGCCCATCCCAAGAAAAGAATCTAAAACCGACCCTTACAACTACAGGCCTATAGCTCTGATTTCTGTTATAAGTAAAGTGATGGAGAGGTGCATAAATCGCGAGCTTCTGGACTACCTCGAACCACAGCTTGATTAGCGACAGGCAGTACGGTTTCCGGCACCAACGATCCACAGGGGACCTCCTAGCTTACGTCACGCAACTGTGGAGTAAACTCATCCAGTCTCATGGTGAGGCTCATGTCGTTGCTCTTGACATCACGAAAGCGTTCGATCAGCTGTGGCACGCTGCCCTCTTGAGCAAACTTCCATCCTACGGCCTCCCAGAAAAGCTTTGCAGATGGGTGGCTGACTTTATCTCTGGCCGCAAGATATCCGTCGTAATTGGCGGATTCTCCTCTTCATCCCACAACGTCAACGCGGGTGTTCCCCAGGGATCGGTCTTGGCTCCAACACTGTTTCTCTTACATATCAACAACCTCCTTTCCTGCACGATCAACCCAATCCACAGCTTCGCTGATGACAGCACTCTACATGCAGGAATTCAGAGTGACAAGCCGATCTCTGCCGCTGAGCTGGAAAAAAGAAGACTAGCGACGACTTCTTCTCTGACAAGAGACCTGGAGGCTATCACTGCTTGGGGACGCAACAATCTTGTACAGTTCAATGCTTCCAAAACACAGTACTGTACTTTGTCGAACAAAAAGCGTCCTAGCGCTCATACAGTTTCGATGGACGGTCGAGTTCTACCAAAGAGCCATTCATTTCGGCTGGTCGGAGTCCAGATCGCCGAGGACCTGATCTGGCACGAACACATCTCTTCAATAGCTGCAGCTGCTGGGAAAAAGCTAGGCTATTTGTTTAGGGCTAAGAAGTACTTTTCTCCGCATGACCTTCTCACTCTATACAAGGCCCAGATAAGGCCTAGCCTCGAGTATTGCTCACACATTTGGGGTGCTGCCGCCCCGACTACATTGTCCATGCTCGATGCTGTCCAGAGGAGGGCGGTCCGACTGATCGATGATTCTTCCCTAACAGACAGTCTCGGGACTCTTTCGCACCGGCGGGCCGTCGGCGACCTAGCTCTTTTCTATCGCTACACCAACGGGCTTTGCTCCTCAGAGCTCTCTTCCATGATGCCGCCGCGCGATGTGCCTGCCAGACAGACCCGCCTGACTTCGGCGTCCCATCCTAACCGTGTCAAACTTCGTACATCCAGAACTGGCCGATACGACCGCTCCTTTGTCCCGAGGGTGTCTAGATTGTGGAACAATCTACGGGAGGAAGCTTTCCCCAGTTCTACTAACCTTAGGCAGTTCAAAAATCGTATTAACAAAATTTCTTTGGGATCATCATAGCAGCCGCGGTGTTCCGGCATTTAGGCTTCCGCCTGCGCGGCTGTTTCGATATAAAAAAAAAAGATATATTAGAACGTGATTCCTTGTTAAAAAAAAATGGGAAATGCAAAGTTGTCAAGATACAGGGTGATAAATTGATTTTTTTATTAATTTGTTGTAATGTTATGCCACGGTGCCTAGAGCAAAAGTTGCAATAACACTTTTTCCTAGACATTTTTTTGATTTTTTGTTTTTCCAGGCACTTTTTCAGCAAAAATCAATAAACCAATTTCGTCCAGTGACATGTAATAAAACGGTTTTTTTTTTCTCAAAAATAAAGCGAGAAACGAAAAAAATACAAGAGGCGAAGAAGTTGTATTTTTAGATGCTTAATCAAACAACAAATATAAAAGTTACAAAAAAGTCAGTGGCGAACATTTTTTTACCAAAAATATTCGTTAAGGTGCAACCGGGACGCCACCGAACGTAATAATTTTAGTCTATTTAGGGCTAAATTAGCCTCTTAATACAACAAATAATATCGTCAGATTCCAACAGAATCGAGTAGATATTTTTTAAGATATTAATAAAAAAGTGTATCTACCCTGTATCTTAAAAAGTCTGCATTTCCGTTTACAGAAAACAAAATAGGTCTAAGAATGGACCCTTGAGGTACACCTTCGGAGATAGTACCTTCATCTGATAAAGACTGTCATCATCCTGAGTGCGTTCATGAAAATAACTCCAAAACAATTTGATCGAACGATCGGAGAAATCAAAATAATGAAATTTTCCGAAAAGTTATTCGTGATTCAGGTAATCAAAGACCTTAGATTTATCACGGCACAAACATCGAGCGAGCTGTTACAGTGCTATGTATTTTCTTTCGAAATTCCGAGTACTCGTATACAATTTTTTATAATATTTTCGATAACATTGGAAGGTTACCAATTGGTCTATAATCACCTTTCGAAGGATCAATTTTGAGCATAGCATACAGGGTGTCCCAGAAGTCGACGTCAAGCCGAAACCGGGTGATAGGCAAAGTCATAACAGCTATCAGAAAAATATTTAAAAAATTTTTATGTATGTGTTTTGAAAATTATAGGTCTTTGAAAAAAATATAGAAATTTCACACCCTACGGCAGTCTGTCAACTCCTGTTACTACAAATATTAACTTTTTTGGATTTTATTTTTACAATGTAATGATGAATAATGCATCTTCAAACTGGTGTCTCGACCTTACTGCCAACTTTTCTCGTTCAAGAAAAATTGCCACTTATTTCCCAACCAAGTATTCCAAAGTAAAACTTTGCTCAGCTTTAACTGGCTGTACTGGAAAAAATGTACTACGAGAGTTTGGCAAGTAACCTTGAAAGTTGGCGCATTTCATAAGGATTCCAAAATGGTATAACACTTAGAAGGATACTCGTTAA